TCAGTGCTACTTGCCAATCACATGCAAACTGCCGGTTTCTGGACTGGTTTAGCCGACGAAACTTGAGGTTAATTCCATGCTCAAGCAAACTGGCGATTAAGAAAAATGCAATCGCTCAAGCGGAATCGAACCTGGCATTTTCGCAGTTCAAAGTTGATCTTATTGCCAATGTGATCTAACGTCCCAACTTGCATTCTTGTGCTCAAAAAGATATAACAAAACAACAAAACGATCGCCCAAGATCAAAACACAAAAATACTATTTTGCAGTCACCCCAGTAACCCTGAAAATCTACCGCCACTTACAAATAGTCAAATAAATAAGGTTGCCAGTGACTGACAGATTGCTTTAAGGCATCAAACACAATTTTGTGCAGTGATTGATACGTCGTCATTGCGTTGGCCTGTTGCTCCTAGAAACCGACGCATCTATTTGAATAGGCCATTCTGCCACTGTGTTTTAAGGCCTCATTCCTGTGTGCATGCACTTGAACAATACTCAATGCAGAGAAACCCGATCAATTCAAAATTATCGTTTAAAAGTCACTGAAAATCGAAATGGCGTTTGACAGTTCCAAGAACAACAGTATCCGCCAGTGATTGCGCATGGCAAAAAAATCAAAACTCCAAGGAAATTTTCGGAGGTATCGCCTACAATGGCGACAGGCTAATCTATTCATGAAAGAGCGGTCAATCCTTCGTAAAAAGTAAAACAAACGGCAGAAAAACTAAATCTCAAAAATATTCTGGCATCTGATGGATATTCGGTCTTGATGCTGGTCTTAAGCTCTAAAGATTAACAAAGTGAAGCTATAACGTTTACAGAATCAAAGAAAACTAGTGACTAATTCGTGTTCTTTCTTGATACATTCGGTGATTATGTTATGCCAAATATGACGTTGATGCCTGTAAACTTGATGTCGGGAACAAAGTTCATTCAATGAAGCAATACTCAGTGTTCCACGTCTGAAATTAATCAACCGAAACTGCATTTAATATTTAACTTTATAGTATTACATGCCCGCCTGCCTTCCAACCCTAATACATCCTAATATTTTTGATTCATATAAGACCCAAAGGGCCTTCCAAAAATTGAAAACTCTGTTCTCATTAATGCTCCAGTGCACGGAAATCTTTAGTAAAAGGCGAAAGATTTACGCGTGACATGCACTGGAACCAGAGATAACTTTGCTACTAACCTTACCATTATATACGCACAAATTGATGATGAAAATGTGGGTTCGGTTAATCCGAACATCATACTTTCGTGATCAAATAAAATATTGGAGAGTAGCTGTTTATAAACGAAAATACTATTCTCCATTGGCGGTCAGCTGTCATACAGAGTAAATGATCTCTCTCTCTTCACCGTGTTAAATTGCTAACTGAAGACTTTCTTGAGCATTAGGCGTGCCTTGAAGCTACATGAATTACAGGACGATGGCGGATCTTAATGGAAGCCATTAAAGTTCTGTCTGATGGCTTTTAAAAAAGGCATTTCTACAGTCAGACATCATAAATCTAGTCTACCCTGTTGTTCAGGGTCTGATGGGCTTAGACGACGACCACACAACGATTAAATGGTCGCAATCGACGTGAGTGGTCGTTTAGATTACGTTTTTTTAGGATTAATTCCAAACTAACGTCCTTAAAAGAAACAGCACCAGTGCAAGCAAAAAACAAGCTTTAACAACAAGTGTGCAGGTAATTTTAAATTTTAACTTAAATAAGAAATAGGGAAAAATAAATAGCGATTCATAAACATTTTTTTTAAATTTTAAATATGGCATTTGCCTCAGCTAAAAACAAATCGAAGGTTGAAAACGCATGGAACTTTTATGCGCAGGTTCTTAAAACGCATTCTGCATGGGCAACTCATGTAAATCAGGGTATCGATGACGCACTTCAAGTGAGCTTGGAAACATCATGAATACTGAGATCAGAGAAACGGAGTTATGATAAAACCAATATCAATTTATTGAGATGAGTAACTAAGGAACAAGTCAACAGATTTATTTAAATAGATTTTCAGACACTTTTAATACATTTATTAATAGAAACCATTTCACATTGATGATAAGGACAAACTTGAGTTTACAAGTGAAGGTTAGTTTTTACCACTGCGAACGAGAATAAGTAGTGAATGTCCCGTTGAACGTTTATATCGAATCATTGCACCGTTCTTCGAGTACTGAACAATCGTATAAAATTACATAATATATTATAACTGACAACATCGTTTCTTGTTCTCTGACATTAATGTCATTTTGCCAGCAGTTCAGGTTAAAAGTTTATGTGGTAAACAAAAAACAACTGCACCGTCCACTAAAAAAAACTAATTTACAGCTGCAGCCCCAAACTCGAAAACAAAATGGGGGTATGGAATGCAAGCAGAGTTTCATCAATGTTATCTGAGATTAACAGAGCTTTAACGGCAAATAGCCCAGGTTTATGACGTATGAATATTAGAAATGATACGTTAGATTGATATTAGGCAGCGTTCGTTGATGCTGCAAGAGTCATTTTCCTCTTCGTAAGCAAGTCTGATTCAACAAGATATTTCGAAGTTTGGTACTATTCTCAAACACGTCAGCAAGCAATATACGGTTGCAAAGAAAGAAGAGTTTTGAATATATTTCCATTCTCTTTTCGAACTGTTATGAAACAAAACTAAGCACTGGTCTCTGTGATCAAACCGGTGGTCGTAGGAATATGGACGTTCCCAAGCCAGTCGTACCATAGCACCTAGAGGATGCTGCGCAGACAGCGCTGTTGAAAACTGGCGATAAATTTCATGACGCTTCAGGACGCAGGCATTTCGTAACTTCACATGAACGGCGTAAATACAACTGCCTTTAGAACAGTAACCTTCGTGTCCACGCTCACAGTGAGATTTTATCTTTACGTCTTACAAGTTGCCGAAATTCGCTCATGTCATTCCAATACGTCGGTTCACTTCAGTATCAATGCCAGCATCGTTAATAAACACAGTTTTGAAGCACGTGAAACGGGCTACCTCGTCCGTCGCAAACACTGAAAAATTGGCATTCTAATACGACCTTAAAATGCATACTGATGGGCTACCCGAATACTCCGTTTCCAAAAGAGGTTCATATGCTCAGTAATTCTCCCTATGCAGCGACCGTCACTGTTAACCTGTCGCGTTAATTACTGATTCTGCTGCGGCGGCGGTTCATTTTCAGCAACACCAGCATCATGGAATAAACAGCCCAAATGAACAGCCTTAAGATCTCTACGACGCAGTGGACTATCGTCTTAATAACCACCTACTTAACCAGGCATCAAAAACTACAGTCAGAATTTGCATTATACAAGTTATAACTATACATAAGGTGGATAAAACTCACCGATACATGTCGAAAGGGTCATTTCCTCCAATCATGCTCATCAAGGTAGATTTTCCACAACCTTGAGAACCAATCACACCGACTACAAGAAAGTTGCTGTTCTGATCGTCCAAATACTAAAATATATTAATCATTATATAACAGACCTATTTTAAACTAATAAATCAATCAATCAATGCAACCAATGGACCTAAACTCTGAAATATCATTTATAATGTCAGAAATCGTAAATCTGGGATACTCCTCGGTTCAAGCTCTGTTAGCATCATATGACTATGATGAAAAACAAAGATCGTAAGCAAAAATCAATCGTAATTTTATAGACAGTAATTCAACTAGTCTGATCATAGACGTCACTGTGCAACAAGAACAGCTACAAGTTTACGAATACTAGAAAATCAAGGAACTGGTTTCAAATTTACCGGGTGCCATTTTAACGCCAGACACCTCCATATCGAAGTGTTGCTGTGCCATCCA